AGTATACTATAGTATATTATAGTGCGGTGTGTTGCAGGGAGTGCCAATCCAAGAAGTGGCACTCGACATCCACAACATCCACAGCTAAAAGGCTTTTCTGATCTGAAAGCTGCATTCGAGAAACAGAAGGCAGACGTGGGTGGTCTGGATGCGAAGACATTGTGGGAAATCCACTCGCCCAGTCCTGACGTGATTCCACAGATTCTGCGACAATGAACAAACAGGCTCATAGCCTACTCCCTGATCATGACGCTTGTCTCAGGTCCTCCCCAAGGTATGTGGCACTGCTCTTTCTTGTCATCGAAGCCTGATCAGCTGGAACAAAGAAGTGCCAGCGTTTCGTGTTAAATCAGCTCGAATCATGCTCAAGTTTGCGATTCTGCTGAAGTCGCGTCTGGCCGTGCTGTCTTGTCAGCGTGATTGGCTAGCTTGGTGGAAGCCGTGGCTTCCAAATGGTGAAAAGCATGCAAGAGTTGTTTCTGTAGTATCGTAAAGGCTTGTGATTCGGATCATGAAGAGATTCCCTGGCGTTGTCGAGTCCCGACACACAGAGTGTCTTCTGATTCAATGGCTTTACCGGATGAACAAGTTGAGCCGGCAAGCGTCTCCGACTTGAGAAAAGGCAAGCCTTTCCTCCGGAACCGAGAAAAATCCTTGAGACATGGGTCTCGCTGGACAAACTTAAAGCGTGCTAAGGGAACCATGCCGGAAGTCGAAAGATAAATACATCACTGCATGCCTAGTTCTCGAACCTAGGGTCTCCTTTTTCGGTCTTTCTTGTAGGGGCGCCGTAATTTTTTGGGACCTAAAAAGGGCGCCCTAATCGAGAGAACCACCCACATCAAACTTTTAGACCTGCCCCTGGCAGTGTACATCTCCAAGCGACATCATGAACCACTCGGAAGCATCCGCACAAAGGAATGACCTACCACTTGCGTGGTACGACTGCCAACACTCCGCGATACCCCACCCTCACATCAACCCTTCCTATAGTTGTCGAGGATC